TGAGTGAAGTCCACCTCTAAGAGGGCGATGAGGGCCGGCGAGGTGGGCATGGTGTTTGGACGGGAGAAGCGGACTCGGGTGTGCACGGCGGGGAAGATGCGTGTCCGAAGCTGGGAGAGGCAGCGCAAAGGCCGAGATGTGTCTTTGGCTTGGGTTACGGGGGCAACGCGGGAGACGCGGAGGGCGGAGAGACGTGGGACTACACCGCCGAGGCCCGGATCATTGGTGAAGGGTTCGAGGAGGTTCAGGCCCGAGGGCATGCCGGACTGGAGGTACCCGGCACCGCCGTTTATGCGGAAGTTCGGCGAGAGAGGGGTGGCCGAGCCAGAGCCCGCTGCAGAGGCCGGTCTGAGGCCGGCTGAGGCTGTGAAGGTCGCAAAGGGGCCTTGCAGGCGGATGCGTGGCCGCGCGAGGAAGACAGGGAGCCTCCAGACGGCGTAGATGTGCGGTTCCCTCTTTCGCCTATCTATAGGAGCGACGGCATTCTCGTCCTTTTCGTTGGAGTCTGAGGCGGAGTCTTCCTCTTCAGGTTCGTCAACGACGATGAATGGATCCGAGGTATCCTCAACAGTTCCCTGGAAGATAATGTCCGTCGATGGCTTCTCCCTATCCGAAGCGTGGCTGTTCACGATTTGGGCCTCTACTGAGACGACCAAGCGGCTAAAGTGTGATCGTAGTGCCTTTTCGTCCATGAGAGGGGCTCTCAGCACGAGTAGCACGTCAACCGTCTCATCTGGTAGATATTAGATGGTGCAGATATGAAAACGGGATGGTTGATGAGATACCGAAAAATAGTGTGTCCCTCCGCTTGATAGAATCAAAGAGCGCTTTAGTGTCGTCGACGCCTTGAAACGCTTTCTCGAGGTCGAGATTTGTTGCTTCGGGGATGAAATACGTGAGAAACGCATTTTCGATGAACTCGGCCACCCCGGCGGGCTCCCGAATCTGATCGTCTATAGCCATGTTGGGTTATGTTTGTGGCATCAAGTATGAAAGCTCATCTCAACCATCCATATATACAGGATGAATAGAAGACACCAAGGGCAGTTTCACAACGGTGTCCTTCTGTTTGCCAATCCGAGGGAACTTATACCAAACGCTTAGCGAGCTAGCGACGTTCCTTCCCAGAGGAGATCTTGAACCTGAGGCTTTGCTCAGTGAGAAAGAAAGAAGTATGGTAAATAAGTGTTTCTCAGTCTGAGAAAGCACATGGAGTTCGAGAGAGGTTCGGTGAGAGGTCCAATGAGTTGAATCGCATGAAGGACAGTGAGAAGTTGAGTGTCTCTTACACAGTGTGGGAGCTTTCCCCTGGCTGCCAGCTGGCTTACTTAAGTTCGGATTGAAGTTAGACTGGAGAGCGGGATCACCGAGCTACCCCGGTCCGTGCACCAAGCGCCAAATTGCTCATTCCGTCGGTCGCAAAACTTCGTAGCATCTGTTCGCGTTCCCCTCCGCGCGACGACCTGTTCGATCCTCCACGTTGACTCGCCGTACAAAGCGTCCACGCATCGCTGCTTCACTTATAATCGACTGACAAAAAAACCGAGTTCATCTAGACATCTACAAGATCTCCAATAGATAGGCGGCATCATCATCATCATGAACGGATCCGGCAGCCCGTACGGCCAGCCTCCGGCGTGGCAGGAGCATCGCACGCCAGATGGCCGAGCCTACTACTACAATGCGGCCACCAAGGTTACGCAATGGACCAAGCCCGAGGATATGATGTCTCCGGCCGAAGTAAGAGCACTCCCCCGGATAAGTAGGATTAGCTGCTAATTGGCCACAGAGAGCACTTGCGAATCAGCCATGGAAGGAGTACACTGCGGAAGGCGGTCGCAAGTACTGGTATAATACCGAGACGAAGTCGAGCTCCTGGGAGATGCCCGAGGCCTACAAGAAGGCTTTGGGTGCCAACAGCGGCCCCAGTACGCCTGCGTATGTACACATCTTGCCCCAGTGCCAACTACCAACTAACAAGAATAGGGCTGATAGGGCTGCACCATACGATCGAGGAGCGCCTTCTGACAGGTACAACAATGACCGTTACGATTCCTACCGTGACCACCGCGACCACCGCGATACCTTCCACGAGTCGCGCCAGCTGACATTCGGCAACGACGCGACGGCCAAGGCCTTCGTGCCCGCAAGTAACGAGCCCGAATTCGCCACGCAGGAAGAGGCAGAGGCCGCCTTCACCAAGCTCCTCAAACGCAGCGGCGTTCAGACGGACTGGACCTGGGAGCAGACCCTGCGAACCATTGCAAAGGACCCTCAGTACAGGGCTATCAAGGACCCCAAGGATCGCAAAGCAGCTTTCGAGAAGTACTGCCATGACATGATTGTCCAAGACAAAGAGCGCGCAAAGGAGAGACTGACCAAGTTGCGTACTGACTTCGAGACTATGCTTAAGCGCCATCCGGAGATCAAGCACTACACGCGATGGAAGACTGCGCGCCCCATGATCGAGGGCGAGACCATCTTTAGGTCCACCGATAACGAGGCCGAGCGTCGTCAACTCTTTGAGGAGTACAGAGTTGACCTCAAGAAGAACCACATGGAGAACCAGGCCACTATGCGCAAGACAGCCATGGACGGGCTCATTGACCTCCTTCCGAAGCTCAACCTGGAGCCCTACACGCGCTGGTCCGATGCGCACAGCCTTATTTCATCCACGACGCCCTTCCAAAATGATGAGAAGTACAAGACCCTGAGCAAGTTTGACATTCTGATTGCGTTCCAAAACCACATGAAGGCTTTGGAGCGCGCTTTCAACGACTCTAAGCAGGAGCAAAAGAATGAGAAGTTTCGCAAGGAGCGTAAGGCTCGTGATGGCTTCATCTCCCTCCTCACTGAGCTCAGGAAAGACGGCAAGATCAATGCCAGCACGAAGTGGCGCCAAATCTACTCCCTCATCGAGAACGACGACCGATACAAGGCCATTCTCGGCCAAGGTGGCTCAGCTCCCCAGGAACTTTTCTGGGATCTCGTCGAAGAAGAGGAGAAATCCATGCGTGGAGCTAGGAACGATGTGTACGATGTCATTGACGTAAGTTGATCTTGGCCTCGTTGTCCTTTTCCAGTCTGCTAATACCCTATAGGACGAGCGATTTGATATCACTCCCCAGACCACGTTCGAAGAATTCCATGCCGTTATGAAGAAGAGTCGACGAACTGCTAACATTGACCGTGATATCTTGATGGTTCTCTTCGAACGCGTGAGTCATAGATTGGAAAAATCAACATGAGGTTTCGACAAAAACTAACGTGTACGCAACAGGCCAAGGAAAAGAGATCTCTGAAGAGATCCGACGATGAGAGACAATCTGAACGCCAACAGCGAAGGGCGGCTGATGATCTCCGGGCGTACATGAAGCGTATGGAACCCCCTATTACCCTGGATGACACGTACGACAAGGTCAAGGCTCGCCTTGCGGATACGCCCGCGTTCCAGGCTGTCACATCGGAAGACGCTCGCGTCGCTACCTTTGATCGATATGTGAGGAGACTCCGCGAGAAGGAAGAAGAGGCCGACCGCGATCGCCGCCGCAGACGTGGTCGCGATTCCAGCGAACGCGACATGTACCGTGAGAGACCCAGATCCAGAGGTGAGCGATCTCATCGCAGCAGTGGCCGTGCTACCAGGCGAAGTCGCAGCCCGGAGGTGGACGCCTACGAGGCGGACAGGCGGAAAGCTATCGCTGAGCGTGAGCGCAACCACCGCAAATCGACCATGGCGGAAAGTCTGCTCTCGACTGAACGCGAACGTCGTTTATCTCCTCCCCCGCGTCGCGAGCGGGAACGCGAACGGGACAGAGACCGTGAGCGCGATCGCGACCGTGATTACGACCGTCATCGCTCTCGCCGCGACGACGACAGCCACTATGATCGCGAGAGACGGGATAGAGAGGAAGAGCGGGAGAGGTTGTACCGGCGCCGCATAGGATCCTACGACGAGCTCCCTTATGGGGATGAGCGCCCGTCTGGATCCCGACGCCGCCGCGAGGAGGATGAGGAGGACCGACGGGATTCAAGGGACTCCAAGGTACGACGGACTGGCTAGTCTACCACACCCGAGCCAGATCGCTGACAATGTCGCAGAGAGTGAGAAGAGAGAAAACACCCCGTGAGCGCACCCCCCAACGTGATACTACACGTCACAAGAACAGGACTCCACCGCCGGCGGCGGCTGCCCCCAAGGACGTCAAGGACACCAAGGAAAAGGAGCCTGTAAAGGACGTCGCGATGAAGGATAAAGAGGACGCGGCGGTCCACTCTGGGTCTGAAGAGGGCGAGATTGAGGAGGACTAGATGCGGCGTGCGTCTACAAGCCTCGGGGGCCCCTGACGGACCGCGAAGAGTGACTTTCGAGTACGTATCGAAATCACCAGCCGTCACTGAGAGCCTGATGACCGCAGCGCATACAGACTTATTGGCATCGTTCCTTCCGCATCGCGGCCCGGCCGGCCTCCTCTGCGCCCGTCAACAGATTTTGGCCCTCGCGATCCATCGGCCCGTAGATGGTCGAATCATATGTCGATAGGTCCGTTATTTTCCCAGAGGGAGTTCTTTTTTTTTTATTCTTCGTTTCATTCTTAACGTAGGTGCGTATATTCTTGTCGAAGTAGTCATTGTCGAAGCATTCACAATAAAAAAAGAGAAAATGACGTTTGCTTTTAATAACAACGGTCTTTTTTGTATTGCTTGTCGTTTGTTCTCAAGATACGTCTGCCTTTTGGCATGCTCAACCATATTTACGAAAGTCTCTCGCCACAAAATCGTGGCAGAGACCGACGGCAGTCACCCTGCTTCATCCGTTGCCCCTCAATCTATGGAGTCCGGCTGTGTCCCAAATGAATGTGCAGCCAACAAAAAACAAACATGGCTCTGCAAAGCGTCCTTCGCACATTCAAACCAAGGGGGGGACTCAGTCATACGCACACCCAATATTGTATCTCCATAGGACCAGGCAACGGGGGGGTAGACTGCCGTCGCCGTTGTTATCCATCACCATCGGCGTCGTCCTCGGACGCGCTCGCCTCCTCTAAACCGAAACCATGATCCTGACCGCCGGAAGCGCGCCTCCCCGGTTGCCGCTTATGCCCTTTTTGAACGCCCTTAACGCCTGAGTCGAATGCATCGTGACGAGGGAAAACATCTGTATAGGTGCCCTCTTTAACTCGTCTTGTCGCCGTCGTCCAGGAAGAACTATACACCATGTTAGGATTGCTGTCAATGTCAAAGTGGCACACGGTTGTTCGACTTACGTAGTTGCCGTTGGCCTTCTGCTCCTGGTCGAGCTGGGAGTTGCCCTTGTTGATACGAGGGCGGTAGTTTGTGGGATCGCGACGGAAAGAAACGTCGAGGTTCTTCAGGAAAGTGTTGCAACCAGTAAGGAGAGACTCGGGCTTGTTGGCATGAGCGTCAATACCGGGCTTTCCGTCAAAGACGATGACGCGGTCGGCGAGGTAGGTGGCCATGATGAAATCGTGCTCGACGATGAAGGCGGTCTTCTTGGCGTGCATGATGAAGCGCTTGATGACGCGGGAGGCAATAATACGCTGCTCGGAGTCGAGGTAGGCGGAGGGCTCGTCGATAAGGTAGATATCGGCGGGTATACCGAGAGCAAGAACAATGGCGACACGCTGAAGTTCACCACCGGACAAGTTCTTGACCTCCTGATCAATGAAGTCATCGAGCTTCAGGGGCTTGACAACATCGGTCTGGAACTGGGGCGATAGGAAAGAGGCCCTGATCTTCTTGAAGAACAGCTGGCGAACAGTACCCTCGAACTTAGGGGTGATGGTCTGGGGCTTCATGCTAATCTTCATCTCGGGGACGGCAGCCTTGGTGTCGGGCTTGAGAGCGCCAGCGAGGAGACGGCAGAAGGTGGTCTTTCCGGTTCCGTTCTCTCCCATCATGACAATGATCTCGGAGTCGGTGAAGTCACCAGACTCAATGCTCAGCTTGAAGTCACCCATGGACTTCTGCATCTTGGGGTACTTGAAGGCACGAGACTTGTCATTCATGAACTCATCAGCACCCTCGGAGAGCTTGAAGGTCAGGGACTCGTCACGGAAACGCAAGTTCTCGGTCGGGATGTGACCGTCGAGGAAAATGTTGATACCTTCACGGACGGACTGCGGCAGGGTGACTACACCGTAGACGGCGGGGCGACCGTAAAGAACGCAGATGAAGTCGGAGAGGTAGTCCAAGACTGACAAGTCGTGCTCGACGACAATGACGTAGTCGTCGTCGCGGAGAAGAGAGCGAATAACACGGGCAGCAGCCAGTCTCTGCTTGACATCGAGGTATGAAGAGGGCTCGTCGAACATGTAAACGTCGGCCTTGCGGACACAGACGGTACCAATGGCGAAACGCTGCAGCTCACCACCAGACAATTGGTTGATCTCACGATCCATAATGTGGTTGAGCTCCAAAGTATCGCAGACCTCCTGCTTGTTTCCCAAGCTGCTCACAGCATCGATCAAGGCTCTGACGCTCTTCTGAGGGCCCTTGACGGCGCGAGGGATCTGGTCGACATACTGAGGCTTGACAACGGCCTTGAGGTCATCCTCAAGAAGCTTGGTGAAGTAGTCTTGAGAGCAAAGAGTTAGTATCTGAAGAATACAGTATTCCAAATTAGGGATGACTTACTTTGCAATTCAGAACCACGGAAGTACTTGATGACGTCCTCCCAGTCGGGCGGGTTGTCGTAGCGACCCAAGTTGGGCTTGAGCTTTCCACTGAGAATCTTCAGAGCGGTACTCTTTCCGATACCGTTGGTTCCAACAAGACCAAGAACGTTGCCAGGACGGGGCATGGGAAGGCGGTGAAGCTTGAAGCTGTTGGCGGAGTAGCGATGGGTGACTTGGCTCTCAAGGTTCGTGGGCAAGTTGATGATGGTGATGGCGCTGAAGGGGCACTTCTTGGGGCAGATACCACAACCGATGCATAGTGACTCGGAGAGGAAGGCGATGCGGGACTCGGGGGTAACTTCGATGCAGAGCTTTCCGGAGCGGACGACGGGGCAGGCCTTCTTGCACTCCTGACGACACTTCTTGGGCTTGCACTTGTCGCTGTTGACGATAGCGACACGGGTGAGTTTGTCAGACATGGTGATGGTGGTGCCCGACGGATCGAGGCGGGGTTGGCGATGGGATGGTGGGGCAAGATTTTTTTGCGCAGGTTCGAAAAACAAAAAAATAAGTGAATAAAGAGGGGAGTCCCTCTGCAGACGATCAGAGTGATGTAGAGTCTGTGGATAGTATTTGAGAAAGGCAGAGAACCTGGAAAGCAACAGGACCGGAGAAACGGCGAATATTGTCGAGGCGTTGCGACCTGGCCTTCTTGGGTGAGGAAGGGAAAAAGAATTTGGTGTTTCCAGGTTGTTGCAAAGGTGGCAGAGACGAGAGAGAAACGCACGGCTATGGCAGCGAAATACAGCGGTCAGCTAATTTGTGCGCACCGTCACTGGTTGTGAGTGTGTGAATTGGCCAAGTTTTGGCGGGGCATTTCCCCTACCCTACCGCCTGCCAACTACCCCGCCAGTGAGGGTTACCAGGTGTTTTGTGTGTCACTTTATCTCCAATCACCAAGCGAAAAAGTACCTGTTCGCTACTTCCGGAGCACCTGACATCACGGTCCTGGTGAGGCCAAACACAAGGTCTGGAACGTCCCTTGCAGATGTGATGTTGACAATATTGGCTGGAAACACACCTGTGCACATCTTTGCAAGAAGGCTGACCCCATGTTTATCTTTCGAGCTGAAGGTTGGTCGACAGATCGCACTGAGGCAGTTGATCTCCGCTTTGCTACTTGCGCATTGCTTTTGGTTCAAAGAGGTGGATTGATACGTAACCATACCTTGTCCACTCAGTCGCTTCTTTGTCATCCACTAAGAATTTCCCTTGGGACTCATACAGCCTTGAAAGAGATCTTAGTTGGACCTTGCTGAGCCACTTGCCATACGTCCGCTATCGCCGTTTCCTTCATAAGACAGACCCCTGGAGAACTAAGCGAGGTATCAAGTAGTAATTCCTAGGTGGGCAGTCTCATAGACCCAAAAAATGGCAAGGTCCAAAGACTCATCTCGGAGGTATACGATTATGCTGGAAAACGTCGTGAACTGCACAGCCCTCGCTGGCCTGTTTGGAACTTGATTTGCTGTCTGTACCTTAGAGGTACCTAACTGTTGCTAGGCGCTCACGTGACCTCACCTGGTGAATGTAGGCCGTTACAGACGAAGTAGACGAGTGGAAGACAAGGGCATACTACGAAAACCTACTTTTCTGATGCCTGGTTTGATATAACTCATTGTTCCCAATGAGAAGAGAGAAGGCAGAAATATATGATGCGGTGGCTGTGGTATAGAAACAGCAATTTAGCGCCGAGGATGGAATTTGACAGATTCAGCGTATGGGCAGGAAGCTGTTAAGACGTGTGCTGTATCACCATTGAGTAGAGACGGCAGCCTATAAGATGTAAGCCAATGAGGTTCTAACACTTGGGACCGTTGCAATGGCTACAGATATGGAGAATGTGAAGAATAATCTACTCTGATGGTCGAATATTTGACCAGTTGCATAAGGCACGAGAAAGCTACTAGAGTCTTAAATGGCAGACCCGGAACTATGGAAGGTACTTATGCAACGATGAGATGCCTTACGCGGAGTGACATGACATTTTCAAAGCTTCCTGAGCATGAACACGACACAAGAGACGCCGTTGAAATAGGTCTGTCGATGCCGGATGTAGAACTTGGGAGTTGAAGTTGTTGACTTCACCCCAAAAGATCATAGCCAACCATTGATCAAATTCCGCGCGAAGCCCAGCGTCAGGAAGGATCTGTCAACTTCCTCGAGGCTACAAAGACAACCTCAAGTGCCATGACATACAAAGACTGCAAGTGGACACCCAATTCTTCGAACTCGAATTTGCAACAGCAATAAAGGTTTCGGAGACCGATGTCTACAACTTTAGACGCTACCGGAGTTGCGACGTCCAAAGTGGGGAAGAGAGACGGGAGCGGTGAGGTAGGTGCCAGCGGGGTTCCGAATCTCGGTGAACTCTTGGAACTGCCTGCCCGCTCGCGACGGCGTGTGCGACCTCTGAGGCTGGGAGCTCCACATTCATCCTCTTCTCCCATTCGCTCATTCACCTTGGCCTCCGCGAATCAAATAGCTTCTCGAGAGGGCGGGTCATGCCTCAGGCAAAAACGACCGACTTCTTTTGGGGGTGATTCAGTGCGGATAGCGCTACAACCACCTGTACCTCACCCGTGCATCCACCTCAATTCTTTCCTGCCTCTCCACCGGTACATTTTCCATCCACCACCACCCATCACCCGCCAGGCCTACGGACTACCTAGGCACGTCACTTTCCATAACCTCCTTCAACACAATACCTCTTCTGGTCAAGATCAATGGTACTAGCTGCCTGGAGGCCATTCGTTAATGACTTGTAAGTTATTACCTCCACCTGGTCACAAGGCTTCCAAGAGCCAGCCAGTTTCCCGTCACGAGCCATCAAGCCAGCCTCGCAGCGGCGCGCTCCCATCCTGATATCCTCGTCTGCCATGACATGGGCGATCCCTGAGATGCCTCGTGTTGATGGAAACGAGCTCGCCGGATGGTTCTGATGCCCTGGTAACACGTCACGGTACTCTGAGTCCGCCTGACTGGCACAATGGCATCGCCATCAACTTTCAGCCTCGTCTCCATCAACCGCGTGCCCGCGATGCGACGAGGTCGAGATTTCCATCAATGCCCGGGTTTTCCTAGTGACTTCATGTTGATATCGGTCGCCCAACCTCACTGGCCACGCTCTTTCTCCGCTTCTGTCCTCAGACGGTCAAACATTTGGCTAACGTCGTTCCATCCATAGCAGGCAGCCTCGACTTAGACCATCACCATGTCTAGCCCCCTCGAACCCGGTCCCACCAACGGGTACGGGTCGCCGGAGGGCGGTTCTCCCTCCCCAATAGTCGCTGCCGGCCACCAGAGCGACAGTGACCTCTCAGATATGCACGATAATGCCGCACGCCTCGCCTCATCGTCACCGTCGCCGGATCCCAACGACTTGTCTGGTTACATGAATGGCGCACCCGACTTCGCCGAAAGCGAGAGCTCCGGCGATGAGAACAACGCATCTGACGATGCCGACTTCGATATGGACGAGGACGCGGCTTCTGTTGCCCAAAGCGATGGGGCTGGCGACGTCCACTCGGACTCCAATGATTCTCAACGGCCCACGAAGCGGAAAGCTCCTGCCCGAGAGGATGACTACATCAAGGCAAATCCAGAACTGTACGGGTTGAGAAGAAGTGTATGATTGACGCTTGCTCTAATTGACCACGCCGTAAGCTGACTTTCCTCCGCAGTCCCGTCCGACGCAGCAGCGCAGAATGGTACGTAGGATCCGATGCTTGCCTTGTCCCATCGCTGACAGTTTGGGAATGAAGGTCGATTCATCTGATGAATCCGAATCTGATGTGGTGCCTACTAACCGAAGAGTGGTGAAAAGAAGACGCGTTGAGACGTCGAGACAATGTGAGCATTTACTCCGTCGGGTTCCAAAGCCATCGATATCATCAATTCTGACTTCGCATAGCCTCAAAACGAGGTACACCTGCACGACAACCCTCCACGAATTCGGACTCCGACTCTGATAACTACGGTGGTGCGCGCGCGAAAAGTCTGCAAAAGAAGGCACGCCGTCAGCGTGAGGCCCAGCCAAGCGCGCTTCTCGCGGAAAAGCGTTGGTCGAGCAGACGGGCCGCGCAAGTGCAACAAGGCGCCTACGAAGAAAGCGACGTCGATGACGAGGACGAGGACATGCTTACGCCCAATTACTATGCGGCAGATGTTGTAGACGACTCCCCATACATTGATAAGGTCCTGCGACACAAGCTGAAAGACGGCCTTGAACTCAGTTGGAGCTCAACCAGAACCGACTTCGAATACTTCGTCAAGTGGCAAGGCAAGTCTCACTTGCACGATACCTGGGAAACAGCAGAGACCCTACGCAGCATGCGAGGCTATCGTAGAGTCGAGAACTACTTCAGAACCATTGTGGAGCACGAGCTCCTGATTCGATATGGTGAAGACATCCCGCCCGAAACCAAGGAGCAGTTCTTCCTCGATCGTGAGCGTGCGGAAGAAGCACTGGAAGATTTCACAAAGGTGGACAGAGTTGTCGCTGTTCGCGACGGTGATGAAGAGACAGAATACCTTGTCAAGTGGAAAGGCTGCTACTACGACGAGTGCACATGGGAAGTTGCATCTGCCATCAGTGCGGACTTCCAGGCCAAGATTGATCAATTCTTGGACCGATCTTCTCGTTCGTGGGTCTCTGATCGCAAGGAGTCAAATCCGGATACTCGAACAAGGATGACCAAGCTTGAATCGCAACCCGACTTCATCAAAAATGGTGAACTGCGCTCATTCCAACTCAGAGGCCTGAACTTTTTGTGTCTCAACTGGACTCGCGCAAACAACGTCATTCTTGCCGATGAAATGGGTCTTGGAAAAACCGTTCAGAGCGTGTCATTCCTCAGCTGGCTTCGCAACGAACGCGAGCAAGAGGGGCCTTTCCTCATTGTTGCCCCTTTGAGTGTCATCCCGGCATGGGGCGATACCTTCGACAACTGGTCCCCCGACATGAACTACGTTGTGTATCTCGGCAACGAAGCCTCCCGCAGTACAATTCGTGACAACGAGCTAATGATCAATGGCAACCCCAAGAAGCCAAAGTTCAACGCCCTCATCACTTCATATGAGATGATTCTCCAAGATTGGCAATTTCTTCAGCAGATCAAGTGGCAAGCTCTTCTTGTGGACGAGGCTCATCGTTTGAAGAACAAGGAGTCTCAACTGTACGCGAGACTAGTGAGCTTCGGCGTGCCTTGCAAGATCTTGATTACGGGCACCCCTATTCAGAACAATTTAGCCGAGCTGTCCGCATTGATGGACTTTCTCAACCCTGGCAAGGTTGTAATCGACGAAGAGTTGGAAGACCTTGCAGGTAACGATACGCAAGAAAAGCTCCAGGACCTCCACAAGTCTATCGCCCCTTACATTTTGCGACGCACAAAAGAGACAGTCGAATCTGATCTTC